TTAGGGACGGCTAGCGCAGATAGCCCTCGTGTAGCTTTGCGCGAAATTCAAAACAAACAAACAAACTTTATTTATTTATAAGTAATTTTACTCTCGAAACGCTTTGACTTACATACATCTTGCTAAATCGTTACTTTCATAAGAACATGCATGGTAACTCTGCACTCCAAATCTACCTAATCTTGCTGTCACGCTTAACTGTTTTCATTTAATCTGCTAGATGGATTTTGATGAGAGTGTTTTGGTGCAGGGTCAAAAAGGTTTTTTATACACAGGCATTCCACTAGCAAAAGAAATGGTATCTTAAATAGATGGTATATTAATATTCAATAAATCTGTGAGAATTGAGAGTCACTTCATATTTGGACTTCTTTACTTACCGCTGGACGAGGTGGACTATCGGGACTGGACGTCAGAGGAGCATAATCTCCTCCTCCAGAAGATGAAGCTTGCAAAGAGTGATAAGGAAAACGTTCATACACAAAACGAAAGCATGGGATAGAACTAATGAATGGTATCTTTAAGTAAGCCGTTGGATACACACTAAGTTAAAACTTACAGATGAGATCAACACATTTTCAACTTAACTTTTGTCATGGAAGACTTCGTTATCACTAATGTAGTCGCCCAGTCTCTTTTCAACCTTTCTTTGTTATGTGCTTCGTATGTAGTTTTCTTTATAGAAAGCGAATGACCGAAAAAATACTTACAATACTAATAAAAGATGTGTTAAAATGTACTGGTTTAAATCTATTTACTCAAACTATAAAGTAATGTGAAGCATTAGATTAACCTTTAAAGCGACTTTTGCAACATTTGTCATCTGTTTGTATATCTTTTTATCTATCTGTATACTTAAATGCTCATTATACGGTTATCACATAGTTAAATCTTCACCATAATGTATCTTAACACCGTATTAATGACTGTTTCACATAGTTAAATCTCCACCATACTGTATCTTAACACCGTATTAATGACTGTTTAACCTGCCAAGTAACTACTGAATAAACTTTCGACGTTTGTTTGTCTTTAAGCGAAAAGCTGAACGAGTATTGACTTTAATAGACTAACGTTGTTTTTAGAAAACTGACTATTATTTTATAACCTTACCTAATTGTTTTTGTACTGATCTAATATATCGGCTTGTAATTTACCAGAAGATTTGGCTCGACATCAAACCTACCAACTATAATAAACTTACTGAATACACTCGTCAGTACTGCAGGAAGGTTGATTCTCTAAGGGTGGATAGCTAGCAATTTAGATCCAGTAACATGTATAGGTTACGCGCTATTGGAAAAATATTTCATAAAACAAAATGCTACAAGCAAATGACTTGTAACTACTTCTGTGTGTGTGCTACTTATCTGGAACATCTGTTACGATAATCCTCTAAAGAGACAGAGGGGCGATAAGAACAAAGAAGTGGGTGCAAAATAAAATCAAAAGCGTATCTGTGAACAAGACGAGTAAAATGCCCGACGAAAATGCAGGCGAACATCTGAGCAGTGTACTAAAAAATCACGAAAAATTCGTTATTTTTATTAAGAATATATAAAACGCGCAAGTAAGTCTAGTAAATATTGAAACTGCCAAAAAGGGTCAAATAAAGAAGGTCAACCATCTGATAGAACATCGTAACAACGGTTATATCAATCATCCAAGTCAGAAACATCGTAACAATGGTTATACCAATCTTCCAAGTCAGAAACATCGTAACAATGGTTATACCAATCTTCCAAGTCAGAAACATCGTAACAATGGTTATACCAATCTTCCAAGTCAGAAACATCATAATGATCGTTATACCAATCTTCCAAGTCAGAAACATCGTTAAACCAGTCCTTCAACAATCATTATTCCAGGTTTTCAAGTCAGAAACATTGTAGCAATCGTTATATCAATGTTCCAAGTCGGAAACATTGTAATTATCGTTAATCCAGTCTTTCAGATCTTTCATTATTCCTGGATTTCAAGCATTCTAGCAATCGCAATTCCAACCATCTCAGTCATAAACATCGTAACAATTAGTTAATCCAGTATTCCAAGTCAGACACATCGTAACAATTATAAATCCAGTCTTCCTAATCAGTAAAACTTTAAAAATCGCTAATATAGCTTTCCAAGTGAGAAGTAACACTGTATTTCAGACAAACACCAACGATTTGTAAACATTAATATATCCCACTAACACAGAAAGCAACGAAACGTGTGAGACAGTGAATAAGTACTGGCTTAAAAAATATGTAAAGATTTTGGAAGACAGTGTACAAGATTGGAAAGCAATAGTCCCTCAAATTTTTTCAGTCCATGTGCGGAATGAATTTTTTCATGTGCAATAGTATCAAGAAAATGTGCGGATGTGAGCTACCAGTTTTTTTTTAGACCATCAACCACATTTACTCATTAGGCCGCTTTGCGATGTTACCAGTTGGTTATTTGGGCGTTAGGCCTATCGACTGCCAGGGTCATTAATTAAGGCCGTCAACGTATCGAGACTCCTCACCATTACTGACGATGTGCGTGGCTGAAATAATAAAGTGCGCGGCACTTGATTGGTTGTTGCGCAGCCGAGCAGCTTAGACGGAATACTGCTGGAAAGCTGTACATTTCTTCATCAAACTGTATAAAAACTGAACATTCTATAATATAATAACTGCTTATTATAATACCACAAAATAAATCAGGACAGTAAAGCTTCAGAGCCTACCCGGTATTTCCTGTTCACTAGACTCGCTCTCAGAGATCGAGAACTGAGAACTGTATTGTTGCTGCTGTTCTTTCGACAGTTCCAGCTGGAAGTCAGGATCACGGTACAGGACAGACACTGTAATCGGAAGGAAACGATGATGAGAGTCAAACAAGAATGTATATAAACTGGAAGAAAGTCTCAAAAATCTTATTGTGTAACTACTAACTTAATACTGATTTGAAAAAAAAAAGAATACTTTAAAACTGATAGGTAAAGAGAGAGAGAGCTGAAATAAAACGTGCATTTATCCAGTCGTTATAGCTTACAAAATTAATTACTTTATAAAACTGGCAAAGTTACAATATAGATTTACACAATATTACTTTCAGCTTGTAAACTATTTACTGTGCATAATTAACTCACTAAACTAAGATTACATATAATTTACGTGCAGTACAAAAGTTAGCATAATATTACGTATGACTGACCGTTTCAGAAAACTTACAGATCTCCGTGACGGAAATTCTGAAAAGTCTTACTCTTTATTCATATAAATGTGTAGTGTTTGTTAGTCTTTAAGGAGGTAAACCAAAATAATGAAAGCACGTAAAAAAATATATATTTATTTACTAAAAAACAAGAGGGAATCCTCAATAGTCACGGCTCTTGAAATCCTTTTAGGCAGAATTAGAGTAAATGAGACCTTGGGTATGGTGGAATAAATCATTAGAAAGGGCTTGACCTCCTAAGTTCAAAACTATAAGTAGATCTCATATCGGTCAAGAGATGACGGAACTATGAGCTAAAAGTTTGTACTTGAGAAAAACAAACTCAGAGTCGTTCCATGAGCCGTTCTGCCGCAGCTAAAAAGTCTTAGACAGTTTTGTTTAGATCTCGTTATTTTCCCTGACTAATTAAAGAGGAATGTGTACGAAACGTAATCGAAAAATTATACTTTAATTTCAATCACTATATTTTACACAACGATCCCTATACACGAAACAGATTGCTGGACAGTTATCATTTACTTGTGACATCACATGGTTTAACGTCATCAAATCGACAAGTTCATTTGTGTTCAAATAAAGAAATAAAATTGTTCAGATATTTTACAGTTTCACACAATAACTATTTAATGGTCCAGGAAATAACGCGCAATATATATAAAAAAAAAGAAACGCGCGATAATCCTATCATATTATAAAACTTACATTACCGAATGCAAAAAAACAACAAAAAACTCATTTTTAATGGTGTTAGATATTTTAAACAATCTCTACCATTTGACTGTGGGTCTGTGCCGTCCTCCACGGTCTCCGTTTCAGGAGTAGGTTGAGTTAGGATCACTTGTGCTGGTGGTAACAGCAATTGCGGTTTAGGTGGAGTATAGGCTGGGGGTGGGGCACTGTCTGTGGGTGTAGCTAAGTCCTGGAGTATATGAGGTAAAAAAAAATCATAGGTTAAACGCAAACCTGGAGTGTGAAAATAAGCCCGTATATCAAAACCCGCCATAAAACTTTAGCCACTTTTGGGTAACGAAAAAGAAATCCTAAACCAAAGCGAAGGTTTTACCAAGTGCGGAAACTTCGCTGAAAAAGTGAAAAGTCTTGCCATAGGATTTCTTATCAGTTACCCGAAAGAAGGTGAATTTGTTTTGTTATTTTTTTCTTTCAGAAGTTTAGAGTAATATTCGGTTTCCCTCGTTAATATATAAACCTGCATATATTTTTTTTTTTACAACCTAACTGTAATTCAACATTATTCCTGTCAACATCCTGAAAACTTCTGCTAGCAAACTCCGAACAATATATTTGTTCATTACAAAGTAAGGTTAGAAACGTAACATTTATCTGTTTAATTCATTTACTTGATTTCACGAACATTCCAAATAGTTTAATACAAGATATCCAGAAATTATGCTAACGAAACCGTTTACCTACGTTTCAAGTTTGTTAACGTAATTTCCAGACAACCTGTATAATTCAACATTAAAGGCACATTGAAAGTAACGCAAATTCGTCAACAAACATTTAATGGCAAGACAGTCTTAAAATAACGCAATTCCACAGTAAAACTATTTCACTTTAAAAACACACTAAGTCACTACATTATCATCATAACAGTACAATTTGGTGAAGAAAATGATGATCTACTACTCAATAAATCAACTTACCTATCTATGAATAAACCTAACAGATCCAAGTCATGATAAAAGTCAGTTTGGTTACAATGTTTGCGTGTATCAAATACTGTTTAATCTAGTAACAACCTGGAGCCAAATATTATCACGAACATTATAAACTTTTTTTTATACAACTACACCGTATATTACATTTAAATAACACGGTGCCAAAAAACATTATAGTTTTCAACTAAATATGACGTTGTAGAGCAGAGATCTTTTATAACTTGCAAGTGATTCACAGGTTTCTCAGAAAAAATCTCGGAGTTTGTTGGAAAAAATACATTTGAATAATGCGATACTACCAGTATAATTACTCCTGATACTAATGCGATTATACACTGAGTCTAATCTAGTTTAGTAAAAAATAAACACGTTTTGGTAACTAATATTACACTCATTGGCATTAACTAGCTAATTACTACTTAAGTTTTTAATTATTTACAAACATTTCCCAAAACAGAAACTATTTCTCACAACAAAGTTTTAGAGACCAGGTTTTTGTTTTTAGTTGTTTTTAAATCCATCCTTGCCCTGACTGAAAGACACATGGAGCTGGTGTTTAACATCGGTTCCAGTGACAAACGTGGATTAAAATGGTGACACATTCCCCTGGAGTGGGATGATAGTTCATTACAGGTTAACCTCCAGTTATTAGTTGGGTTGACTGAAGAAAATACGGGTAAGTTGTTTTGATAAAGGGCAAAACGATTAAGTGAGAGAAGACCAGTCGCATAATTTAATAATTTTCAAGCAGCTACAACTCCAATAAGATCAAGGTATTCTCTATTCGTATTGGTTAGAATGTTAGAATGTTTAATCTATTTTTATTATTAGATTTTATTACAGAGATGATCTTGCACTGTTAGCTTAATAGATGGATTTAGTACTAACCTAAATCTCCTAAGCTCGACGAACCTCGAGGATACCCAAGTGATGAAAAAATCAATCCTAATCGTTATAAGTAAGGACTGTATATTCAATTAGCTATACTCATTACTAGGTTGATTTTTATTTTTGATCTAAGTAGGTAGCTTGTCTGATCGGAAGTTAATATTAATCGTTCCCTTACAGAAAGTTCTCGTAAGCTGATTTCATTAAAAACAAACCACATTATGACACCTTCCGACCAAATATGTAACACATAATTACAAGAAAAAAAGAAACAAATAGTTACTAAAAATTAATATATTCTGAAATTATTCAAAATAAAACAACAACAAACAAACTTAAATCTAATAATAAGTCGCCAAGGCAACGCATACATATAATAACATGGTATACCTAATTTGGGAATAAAACAAACACCTGTCACACAGTAATATGTGATCATTTTGTTTGAACAAGGAATCATTTCAAAAATTCAAGTTTCAAAACATTCACCATGCGGCTCACAAAAAATGTTGCGGATTTATATATATATATATATTGTACAGTATAGGCATAACGTTTAGTGTTGATACTGGTTTAAAGTGTTCTTAGTTTTATGCACTCACAATCGAATCAGCGTATACTAATTTTTACAAATTAAATAGAAGCATGATTGAGAATTACTTGAAGTTACAGTTTATAGCATTTTTGTGATCCACGAATCCCTTTGAGTAAGCTACAAAGAAGATGGAGAAACGAAAAGATGTTCCAGTAATATGTGTATCTAAAGAGAACTAGAAGACACTTGGAAGTTTTCAAAACGTTTCAAGACAGCAAGGAAGTTGTATCCTTTAGATGGTGAAGAATAAGGTAGAACAACAGTTGGACCTTCCAGGGGTTTGTATATGTGTGTGTCACGTTTCAGTTGCTTTATCTATCAATAAAATCCAACTTGTTAACTCCTTTCAAATTCTTTTTGGTTACCTTATTTGTTTTACGAAACAATTACATATGTTGTACATCTTTCCAGAATAGACAAAAAGAAGAGATATTTGTGTGGTTAAGGTAAATGTCGGAAGAAAAAACAACTTACAGTATAAGGAATCGTGCTAAACAAGAAAAATGTAAATGTTGGTTGGAGCACAACATTATACTCAGAGGATGTTCACCAGACTCTAAAGATAGAAAAAACCTCAAACTTCATCTAGTAACTCCAAAGTTATCCACCAGCATCAGATGGTGCGTCAATGAACCCTTTTCAAGTTGAATACAAGCATCATCAGAAGCCACATTATTTGTTATACTCTCCAATTTAATCCAGTGATGATAGAGTTATGCACAAGCATCAGATGTGTGTCAACGAACTTTTTTTTTCAAGTTTGATACAATCATCATCAGAAGCT